CTGCTAGTTAAAGGAGGTGAAGTTTCTTCGTTTAACCGAGTAAAATCGGTATCCGTCCATCCATCGATTGCAGTATAATTTCAATTATTCGAAATGTACCATCTCACTTATATTTTGAAAATTACAATTAGTAAGAATTTATTTATTTATTTAATTTCGTGTCGGAGAACTGACAGATAAACAGTCAGTTAGAAAATTAATTATATTTTTAGATATTATTTAATTTTAGAAAATAAATTTTCAAATTTTGATGATGAGTTCCCACATATAAAAACAGCAAAAAATATAGGTGATGCTACAACTAACTGACTACTGAGCTCACTAAGTACAATCAACAGCAAAAGTAAATGACTGTCACTTAGACCACAAAACCTGCAATCTACAATTGTTACATGTATTCAAAGATTTTTATAGTTAAACGCCGTTTTACTGCAGCTATACTAGTACAAAACAGATCAAGATCACAGTCCACTCACCACTTATTAAACGCAGAGGAGGCACGCAATATAATATAATAATAAGGAATTTTGTCTATAATTAGTTTTAACTAATGGTATGTTTAGCAATGGTCGTTCACGGAGGCTTTTTGTATTAGTACAGAGCTGTATTTTAGCAAGTAAATCCGGACAGTCTGTAGATCCACGAGCGACGCTCATTAGGTAAGAAATGTCGCTTATTGTACGTCGGTATTGTAATGGAAGAAAATTGTATCGTTTGCAGCTATTGATTTTACCTGATGTCCAAACTAGAGCTTTGTAATCTATTTATTTTATATTATTCTTTTGGATATTTTCTATTCGATTAATGTAAATTTTATAGTTGGGGTTCCAGACTTGGCTCGCGTATTCCAGGTGATTTCGTACAAAAGCACAGAAAAGGATTTTTATGGTTTTTAAGTTTTTAAAATTTAGAGATGTCCTCGTAGTGAACCCTAACGCTTTGGATTGATTATGCTTTCTACGTGTTCATCAAACAGAAGTTTGTGATCTTGTATTTCCCCTAAGTCCCGGATTCGATTTACCTTCTCAATAGGGCTTCCAAGTAAATAGTATGTATTATTAAATATATTGTTTTTTTTGGAAAGTCATAGTCATACATTTAGAAACATTGAGGCCTAACTTATTTATGGCACAATATTGTTCGAATCTAAATAAGTCTTCTTGCAGTATATTTGCATCGCGTATAGAAGCAACCTGTTTTAAAATTTTCATATCATCTGCAAATAACAATATTTTAGAGTTTTGAAAGCAAGACTGTACATCGTTAATAAATATAACAAACAATAAGAGACCTAAAATCAACCCTTACGGCACTCCAGAAGGTGTATTCTTCCAACCAGTGGTATACCCCGAGAGTACATCAGTTTGGGAGCGTGAATACCGTCTTCTAAAAATTTTTGTAAAATAACTCTGTGATCAATCCGGTAGTCAGTGTATATGATGACATCTACCTGGATACCTTCTTCCATACTAGAGGTGATAAATTCATTGACTAGTATTAAATTAAATGAGGTTGAGCGATTTTTGACAAATCCATGTTGCGTAACTTTCACTGATGGCAAAAGAGAAGCATAAACCTGATCGTGTACAATTTTTTCAAAAATTTTAGCAAATAAGCATAACTTGGAAATAGGACGGTAATATTGAACTTCTGATTTATTCCCTTTTTTGATATAGGAGTTACAAAAACTTTCTTCCACAAGAAAGGAAGATAACCCTCAGAGGCAGAGATAGAGCGATTTAAAAGTAAGCAAAGAGAATCAAACAGGCTGGGTGCACACTTGACTACAAAAATAGGCGATATATGGTCAGGACCACCGGACTTTGAAAGATCTAGGGATTCAAGTAATTTTAAAACAGCACTAGGAATTATCTCGATGAAACTGATAGTCGTTGTAGTTAAATTAATGTTAAATGAAGTTTCATTAGTAGACTTTGCGGGTATGTCAACCGAACAAATGTGGACTGAAAGTATTCGCTGAATAGATTACTAATATCCTTCCCATTCTGTGCAAGTGAATTGTCGTGATACCTACATGTGATTAGGAATATCACTAGTTTTCTTGTTACTTTTTATATATGACGAAAAGGCTTCATAGGTTTTTCTATATAAGTGATAAATGAGTCAAAACATTCTTTTTCAAGTTTATTACCTTTAGCGCGCAAAAAAGTAAATGCTACATAACCTGACATGTTGCCATATACCTTATACTTATTGTGATATTTAGTTTTTTCTTTTAAAGTTTTAATAAGAGCGGTATTAAACCAAAGTGGGTGTTTACTGGCACAAACAGATTTATTAGGTATGTATTTATCACGAAATTCATACAATTTCGAATAGAAATTTGATAGAGCCGTATCTAGGGTGTTATTCTTTAATATTTCTTGCCAATTAGTTGAGCTTAAGAGGGAGCATGCCAAAAAAGTTTTGACGTTGGCTCCGCCCACATTTGTGAGACAAATATATGCCTGAAGTTCGCGTGACATGCGACAGGAGATGTTGAATTTTGCGCATTTAAAGTACCAAATACGTTTTAGCGGAATAACTCTAAAACTAAGGGGATTAAAAAAAATCCATAGTGACAGTACTCGATCATGCATAAATATAATTAATTATCAAATTTTTGTCCTAATAACCTGTAGCATTTCGAGGATGAATCGAAAAAATGTGAAAATTAGTGGTCTTTTCGTGGTTTTTATCTAACTTTATTGTTTTATGTTTCTGATTAGTGTCTATGCTTGAATATATCGTGTAGTTACTCATACAATATTTTATTTTTAACTTCAAAGTGGATATACCCCTCTAAAATCAAATCGAAGATTAGGAATTTTTCCTCTGCTCCCTCTTAACTCCGAGTTAATAGCTACATAATCAGCACGATTAAATAAGTACGTAATAATTATTTCTTGTTCTACAGCACACATATTATCTAATAAGACAAAACAAATATTAAGCGTTTTGTGATGCGGACCTTCCGATACCAAAGGTGAAGAACATTGTTGAATTTCTAATTTATTATTTGAGACTACTAAGTCCAATATACAATTATTACAATTAAATTCTCCGTTGAACTGGGATAAATTACGCATGTATATTATATCCAAGAAGTTTTTTATGTAATTTGCCGAATAATTGTTTGGCTTGAGCTCATCACAATGTATGCGACACCACCCCTCATCTTTTTAAAGTTAAATACACCCATTATTATAAAATTATATAATGGGTATCGTTGAGTTAATTCCGTTAATTTAGACAAAAAAAATGTCCAATTTTATATGGTAGCTATTACCTTGGCCTTCGTTGCACAAATATTATGAACATAAATGTACACTGATCGGCGACCGTGAGTAATTTCTATTTGATAATGAGATTCACCAAATGTCTTCAGCAGATATCGAAACAGCAGCGTGATGATAACAATAATCAATAAATTGACCACAGTAATCGACAATCTACGTACAGTCTTATCTAAATTTTCTTTATAAACTTAGTGTTAGCCAGTTTGCTTTTGAGTTTACTTGTGTTTAACAAAATGACTACCTCACCTTCTGAAATAAGTCTTCGAACTGGTAAGTAAGCATGGCAATATTTTTATGATAATAAATAATCATAAACTATTTTTGGTTGTACCAACTTGGATCGTTGGTGTTAATTTAGCTACTTAAACTATTGTTAGTTACATACAAATTAGAATAACATCATTTTTATAAATTTATAACATAAATCATCACCATCAAAATAAATTAAATTTCGACTTATATAACTTAACAAACAAACAAATTATTGGACAGAATTTATTGTTGAATCCTAATTAAATCATTATCATCAACATGGTCACTCAACATCAACCCACTGCGGGGCATAGGCCTGTTCTTTATTGAGCCAATATTTTTGATTCTGTGCCATTCGCATCCAGCGCGATCCCGAAAATCTGACGATATCGTGAGACCATTGGGCTGGTGATCTGCCCACTGGCCTTTTTGCTCCTCTTGGCCACCATTCCGTGTCTGCTTTGTTGTTTAAGGGAACAATAATTTTGGGGTTAAAAATTTTACAGAAGAAGAAGAAGATTTCTACATGCGCATTGTAAGCCTAGCAGCTGAAAGGAGCAAAGATCCGAAAACTCAGGTTGGCGCTTGCGTCGTTAATAAAGACAAAATTGTTGCTATTGGGTGAGTTTTAGAAATAATTCTCACTTTATTCTAGTTTTACATTTGACGACAATGTCACCTCATTAAATACGTGGTCGATGACAATAACTATAACGTCAATGGTTTTTCTGCGAATTTTTCTATGTGTAACACATAGAAAAATTCATAAGGTCTGCTGGTACGTTCCGTGGCTAAGTTGGCAGAGCGTAGAAAAATTCCTTCCATCCAGCTTGATTCGAACCGACGTCTCCTAGCAAAACGTGCTCTGCTCATAGATGGCGCTACGGGTAAAAAGTCGTTGAAAAACCAAATACAAAGATTCGACCACAAGCGCATAGAAAAATTCATGAGGGCCGCTGGTTCGTTCCTTGGCTACATAATAAAAAAAAAGAAATATCAATTCAATATAAATTGAAGTGGAGTAATTTCCCAAAAAAAAAATAATTGCAAATCATGGCAGTAAAATATCTTGACATTCATTAAACTTAAAAATTACACTTGAGCATCGAGTTCTTAGGTTTTCGCGATTGTTATACATAGGAAATGAAACTATTTTGCCGGATTTAAATCGCGTATATTTGTTTTTTCAAACAAACCGACGTTCAACGTAATTATGACATTGATAATATGGATTATACCATACCATCGAGTATATAACCAGAAAAAGAAACGAAACAAGGGCCATCCATCCCTGGCAACTAACTCATCCGGCAAATGGGCCTTATATCACTTTTAAGTATCAAATCTCGTTTGCGCTGGAATCACAAATTAGAAAGCTTAAATAGTACAGCGCCAACAACTGACTTGTGTGTATGTCTTCGTATATTCCAAAAATATTCTGTATTTATTGTAGTAAAGACAATATCTCTAACAATGGGAGGCTGTTTCAGTCGGTGGTGTCGGAAAAACAGTAAAACATCTAATTGCAAGACAAACGGAATTACTACATTTCATCGATTAATGAACATAAATATTAATTAGGTAATTTTTCAATTATCGTCCATTATAGCAAAGCTCAAGTTAAACTGGTCGATATGAAGTGAAACAATTGATGATACATACAAGTCAATTGTTTCGGATTCGGGCTGGTCAATCGGAGCGCAGTTGTCACTGTTGCAGAATAGTTTTCAAACAAATGAAATGACATTTCGTCTCTATTTCTCGAATGTAATATGATACCTACAGTACACAACATATTCTTTCAGATATAACGGTATGCCAATCAAGTGTCGTGATTCTAAAATGCCTTGGAAGACAGAAGAAGGATTGAAGAATAAGTTACTGTTTGGTATGTTTACTAAAGTTTATTACACTTTCGGGTACATCAGATGATTTTGAAAGGCTTTTGCTATTTTACGAAATTTTAAAGAAGTTCTCTTCTAATGACAATACGAAGTTTAGTGTAAAAAAAGTTTTTTTTTTATGATAGCAAGTGATGGGATAAATAAGTCGTGTGAGTCGTAGTGATATGCGACACTTAAATCGCAAAGACAATCTTAAATCATTAAAAAAATTCTACTCTTGTCAATTATAAATTTATCGAGTTCTTAGGTTTTCGCGATTGTTACACATAGGAAATGAAACTATTTTTCCGGATTTAAATCGCGTATATTTGTTTTTTCAAACAAACCGACTTTTCTGGCCCTTTACAGGTCCCATGGTCACGGTTGACTGAGGTGGTACAGTCTTCAACCAGTTATGTCTAATATTGATGCAAACCACCCTATTTTTTCACTATAGTTACAATAGTTATTAATTAAATACCTTATTTTTAATTTTACAAAGAAAACATTCCAATTTACGCTACATTAAGTTTTACAAATTATTTTATTGAATGAATTTTTATTAAGTTCAATTTATTATTAATTATTAATAGAAATTAGAATAAACTAAAACATATTAATTAGTACTGCAGTCTTATGTCTGTTTGGGATTTTTCATTAGAGGTAATACTGGATCCCAAACTGGTGGTACGGAGAAACCATCTTCCCTGTTGAAATTAGGATGTTTTTTTAATTTCAATGGCCTCTCGCAGCATCCTGGGTAGATAACGGACTTCTTTAGCAAGGACCTGGGGTTTGTCAAACTTCATTGAATGTGTAGGTTTATCCATGACATGCTCGCAGACTGCAGACTTGTTTACGCGACGGTGTTTGACATCAGCTATATGTTCTTTGACGCGGGTACAAATACTTCGCTTTGTTTGTCCAATATAAGAGAGACCGCACTCACAGTAAAGCTTGTAAACTCCTGCATCCTGTAAGGGGATGTTACATTTCACGGGTCTCAGGAACTGAGTCCTCAGGGGCTTGAAATAGGTCTTGATAGATGCACGCCTGAGGACTCTTCCGATCTTGTCTGTAACACCTCTCACGTAAGGTAAGATGGCAGGTTTTCGCTCGACTGTTAGTGGTTTCACACGGGGCCTGCGGCATTGGCGTGGAATCTTCAACTTATTCGCATGTAGGACTTGCTTTATATGCTATAGTTCCCCTGCCAGATGATTACTGTCGCAGACACCATGTGCTCTCTGAAACAAAGATTTGCCCACTGTAGCTAACTGGCTAGGATGGTGATGGGAATTACCATTGAGATACCTATCTGTATAGGTTTTCTTTCGAAATACAGTATGGCCTAAAATGTTATTAGGATTTCTTTTAATTAAAACATCTAAGAAAGCTAAAGTACCACAATTCTCTTGTTCCATAGTAAATTGGATCTTAATACTAAAAGAATTAAGATGGTCCAAGAAAGAAGGTATGCTATGTTTAGGTAATATTGTGAAAGTATCATCAACGTACCGTTTGAAAATCTTCGGCCTAGCTACGTTGGACTAACATGTCATTATATTGTAGGCTTTAAAAAAATAGTCAATTTTTAATTGTTAAAATTGTCATTGGGAAAAATCAGAAACGAGTGAATAATTTTGTTTTCAGGAACTGAGAATAACTAGTAAATGAGTCTTGTTTAATCTAAATTGAACATAAAATTATTTACCAATAAACCTAATGATGGAATAGCGTTGTCATGTAATCTAGTTACATTCAAAGTTCTGTTAAAATTTTACTCTTCAAAATGAAGGGAACAAATGAAGATGGTCTTTGATCCAACGTTTATATTCGGCAGTCCTATGATTTCCAACCATTCTTCCTTCCTTTTTTCATTTGTAGGAAAACTTGAAATAATAAAAATAATAATAATAAAACAATAAAAAGCTCGTAGTGAATTGTTTTAATAACAGAATATCGATAATATGTATGCTTACAAGATCAACACTATCTCAAAATAATCGTTAACAACAATCATCAAAATATACAAACAAACAGGCAATCTCTTTAGATTGTTACTTTTAACAAAAGCAAAATTTGGCAAGATTTATAATTAAACTACTTAAATAAGTCTAATTACATGAAATATTTGGGGTATTGTGTGATTTATAGACAAAAAAATAACACATGCCTGTGCAATGTAACATTCGATTGATTTGCACTTTTTCGAAAGCCACATCCCTTAATGCTGCAGCGTCGCATTTTTATTAGTACCTAATTATTCTCATCTCAATATTTTTGTCCAATTTAATTATAATACATGCGAATAATTAAAAGTACATTTGGAAAAAATTTGTTTTGACATTTGATGTCAAACTCTTTGACAACGGTATCATGTACCTCATGTACTGCGAAATGGACACGGTTGGCATTTAAGATGACGTTACGTATTTTCGATTCCCGTATTTGACAAAGAACAATGTAATTGGCTTAAGACGGCACGTAATACATATAACGTCTGATTTATATAGATATGTCCTTTAGTTTCCATAGTCTAAGATAGAGGCGCTCTTTTTAGTTCAGAATCAAAATTCTATTGTCCATGGTATTCGCTATCGAACTGAAAATTTCCATTCAAGTTCTGTACATAATCTTTAATGAGTATTATAGTTCTGTATACAGACCTATAATGAGTTTAAAAAAAAAGAACCTTGTATTTTTGCCTCAAATTTTTGCTAATTAAAATATCATACATGAATATATGATACTCAATCGCTCTAATGCATCCTGGGGGCCTAATATGAACTCTTATTTCCACGCAGCTTACGCCGTAAACTAAACTGCCTTGTAATTTCGTATTATGAACTGGTAATACCAGCCAGTCAGCGGTCACGTGACACGAGGCTGTCTTCCATAATCTAAGGCCCGAAGTTTGGCTGGCAATATCGTATTACAAACGTTATTTTGACATTTTGTTCAAAAAGTAACAGCAATAAACCATTCAGTTTACTGTGTCTTGGCGTAGCTTTTATTGAATTGTTTTGTGTATAATTGTATAATAATTATTATAATTTTGAGGTTATACATTTTAGGCAATCTTTTCATCGTGTGCGATTAATACGAAATGTTTGAGTATCTCGAAAATGATGTTTCACACAATAATAATATGGAAAAAATCCAAAGGAGACAACTGCGAGATCGTAGTGATCCGTTTGAAATGGATGCATAACAATTTATGAAAAGATATGGGCTTGGCAAAGATGGGGTCCACAATCTTTGCAATGAACTTAAACCGCACATGTCAAGGCCTACAAAATCCACCGATTTATTGGTTGAGACCATTGACTTACAAATAAATGGACAACGGGTCTAATACAAAAACCACGAAAAAAATGTCCCAAGTCAACCTATTCAAAATTTAAATTGTAATGTCATCGCAGTATCGCGCTGTCAGTCGAACAAATGAAGACTAAAGCGGAGTTTGACGCTCTGTATACGATTTTAACGCCTTACAAGTTCGGACGCTTTTTAGCGCGGACCCGACGTCTATATAATTATGAGTCAATGGTTGAGACTAAGCTTATTTTTCACTAAAGCCAAGTATAATTTCTTACAATTTATTTTATAGTCAAATATTCTTAAAATATTATTGACATGTTTTCAACAAACTACTTCTTCTTTTATCTTCATTAGTGGCTTGTTCTGTCTTTCACAATTCCGCCAATGTCACGTAGGTAGCAGTGGCGAAGCGTCCATATAACTCGATTCCCACCGGCTTGCCTAAAATATTCCGCGTACCTGTTACCAGTGGCAGCGCGCATATCCCACCACTTAAAAAACATTTATTCAAAATATTCAATATTAAACGCGTAATAACTTGTCCCGATGCATCTCGACCAAGCAGATTTCATCCCGATGCATCTCGACAGCATACTAAACCATGTCTCCTATTCCAGTTTGCCATGCAGAAATGAACGCAATTATTAACAAAAACTCAGCAAGCGTCGAGGGCTGTACCCTCTACGTAGGGCTGTTACCTTGTGAAGAATGTGCCAAGGTCATCATACGTTCTAGGATAACTGAAGTTGTCTATATGGATAGTCGTAAAAAATACGAAGGGTCTTTACCAATGTTAAAAGAAGCAGGTGTCAAATGCAGGTAAGTAATTTGTATAAACTGTGTATAGATCCAAAATTTTAGTACACTTAGGAAGAATGCTTTGTTGGCTGAGAGCTGATGGACCTCCATCTTTACGTTTAGATCCCATAATAAAGTTTTTACTATCATGGAACTACAAAATTATTTGCACTTTGTAGTTTCAAGATAATGAAAACTTTGTTATAATTACAAACAAAGATCGAACACTTAGAAAAAATCCTTCGATCCGGCTGGATTCGAACCAGCGTCTCCTAGTAAACCGACAGACGCTATGCCAACTAAGCCACTGAACGAACCAGCGGACCGTACGAAATATTCTATGTGCTTGATGTATATCTTTGTTTTTGTTTTTAACGACTTTTTTGTGTAGCGCCATCTGTGAGAAGAAGAAGAAGGAAGAAGAAGACGAGTGAAGAGAAGTTTTTCTTCACTCAAGTAATTTCACAAAAAATAATTGAAAGTCACAATTGAATGTGAAACATCGTAACATTCAATGAAACTTAATTACAATGAAAACTTTGTTATGGAAACTTAACATCTCTGTCAACTCTCAGCCAATAAAGTTTTTTTCAGAGTACGGTACCGCAGTACGTACACTCAGAAGAAAATTTGTTGACGGAGTTTTATGGTGAATTACACCAAGTATTATAAGTAAAATTCCAAAACTGCATGTAAATCAAAAGCGACAATAAGGTTACTATACCCGAGGAGATATGATTTTTTGTAGGTGCAACCGCCTGCATATTTCATAGTACCAATCAGGTCATTTGTTTGTGGAAAATTGTGTCAAACGTCATTTACATAACGTTCCACTTTCCAGACTAAATATGACTGTTTACATGGCTTGACGGTTGAGCGGTTTACATGATGCTGAATGTACTTATTCACAATAAAAAAAATGCTAATAAGTACGATCACCTCGCACTCACCCTAACAAATTTCAGCAAAACAAAAAAATCCCAATCGCCTGTAGCTGCCGTCGAACCTATTTGGACCTTATTGTAGCGTGTCCTTCCTTACATTGCAGGGCCATAAGAATAGATCCCGGTTGTCGTTCGAATTAAAATAACCTTAAAAAATTATGCAAGGTTTTTATTATCATCCATTTTCCATTTTTTCATCAACGTTGTATTTTTTTTGTTTTAGGAAATATCCAAAAATTGAAGAGTTTAACGTAGACTTTGACGAAGATCGACCAAAGGTGCTGTATAAAATGTGACTGTATGTAATGTTTTAAGAACATTAGGTACGCGAGCGTGTTAGAAAAATTCTATGAAATTCAAAAACACAATATAAGTAAATCAAATTTATTTCAATTAGAGGGTAGTACATAATGATATATAAGTAGCAAAAATTGTTTGCGAACTAATAATAAAAAGCAATACTTCCAAAAACATGGTTCTGTTTTAATTTATAAAGTTGGTACAAAACAATAAATAATGTTTGTAATAGGAAATGAAACTATTTTTCCGGATTTAAATCGCGTATATTTGTTTTTTCAACACGGTACCTGTAAAGGGCCCGAAACGTTGCTTTGTTTGAAAAAACAAAAATACACGATTTAAATCCGGAAAAATAGTTTAATTTCCTATGTGTAACAATCACGAAAACCTAAGAACACAAGTAACATTCACAACTCAGTCATTTTTGGCAAATGTTTATCTTCTTTCACAATCTATCGATAAAACTATCGACAACAACTACATAACTATTTAAAATTTTATGAAAACTGGCAACCCTTCAAATGTCATTTTACTGCGTCTTCAAAAAGACAGACTATGATTTTATTGTAGAGCGCATACGATACGAACAAATAACAAAAGGTAACTATACTCAAGCAAGTTATACCACCTTACTACCACTTATAAAAACAAACGTTTGCACGTTGATAATGAACAAATGTTTTCATGGGAAATATTATTGCACTCAGCTAAGATAAGATACTTAATATAGCGTAAATGTTTTACTACAATGTAATATACTTAATTTATATAATAACGTCATTAAAAATAATCATAAGAATAGTGTATTATATTACAATGAGTTACAAGGTCAAGCGCTCGGTCTCGTATTGTACGAGTCAGGCAATATCGTTCCCACTGAGGTCTATACAGTTTTGCTCAATAAGACCAAGGAAATAATTCAAATATATCAAAAGTACTTAACTTTTCAAATGTTTTTTCTAACTGTAGACCTTTTTAAAACAGAGTTTAAAAAAATACGCGATATGCACACAAAAAGCTAGTAGACTTGGCTGTATCGCATTTTTTTTGGTCACCTCGCAGTTATATGAAATTGGACAAATATTTAAAAGTTTAACGTAGCGTTAGAAATGGATTTATTTTTAATTTTGTGGTGTGACGAAAATCAAGCTCTTTGCGTGTTCGTCGTTTGAAAGAAAAGCGAACGTTTGCTAGTTTCTTTGAGAAAAATTAAATTTACACACTGACTACTACAATTTTTGTATCGCTAAAATAAACAAAATGCACATATAATTAAGGTTAGTGCTTTTTCCCTATCCCGCTGTCCCATTGGACGCCTTTGACGTCCAATTTTGAACGATTACACACGTTTACACACACGCGCTAATTTAAGCAGCGAAGCAAACGCGCTACTGCCGCGCAACTGCATCAATACAAACGCGCGATTGCATCGATGCAATCCCCTATAAATCGCAAATGTAGCGATGCAATCGTGCGTTTCACGAACGCGCGTTTGCATCGCTACTCATCGCGTGTAACCACTCTTAAGACGATCCAAATTGCTAAAAAAACAAACAAAACCCGTGGTGTAATAAGGCCATGTCTGCAAAATGACAATTTTTCAGGAACGAAATTAGTCGATAACAATTTTATGCTGAAATAGGAAAGTTTTGAAATTTTACATATAAATTCATTTGTTTCAAAAGAGAATGATAAGGCTGACATCACAGCTAAGCGTGGAATAACAAGGGCAAATCTACCCAAATATAAATTAAAATGTGCTCAAATGTGGAAAGTATTTTGAAATCAGTTCGAGGGAAAAATCAAGTATCGCTCAATTGAGTGTCAGCCTCCTCATTTGCCTTGGTTTGCAGAGTGCGACTATGGTGGGAAAACAGTTGTCGTCGCACTAAGAATGAGAACCGGACAGAAAAAAAAAACAATTCTCCTCATTATGAGTTATGTACAGTAGTGGAAGATGCATATCACTTGTCACTGGAATATGTCCGGTAGCTACGAGCAACAGAAGGCGGCGATCAGCGTTGCCAGGTCTACTGTTTTTCCAGTAGAGCTACTGTCTTTGGCAAACATTTACTGTTCTTATCGAGTTCTTAGGTTTTCGCGATTGTTACACATAGGAAATGAAACTATTTATCCGGATTTAAATCGCTATATATTAAGTTTGTTTGAAAAAACAAATATATGCGATTTAAATCCGGATAAATAGTTTCATTTCCTATTTACTGTTCTACTGTTATTTAACGAAAATGTACTGTTTTTTGAAAATTTACTGTCTTCTCACTTTTTAAAACTATTCTTGTTAGCTTTTTAGATTTTATGAATCGTCTTTTCAATTTACGACGTCACACTTTATGTTTTTGGAATAAAAATGTAGAGCACGCTTAAATAAAACTACAGACAACTGATGATGGTCATATTTTCCAAAAATAATACCTTAAAAAAAATGCTCCTTTTTCTTTCGAGTTATTTTGGAATGACAGCTTTTAAATGAAACATTGAGAATCCCGCTAGGAGTAATAAAAAATACAATTTTTAAAATACTAACATCGTAAATTTAGAAAAAAAAATATAACATCAAAAACATTACGCACTTTTTTCTTTGGGTAGTAATGTAAAAATGAAAATGTGATAGGTCATGTTTGAAGAAAATCGAGACCTGCAGATCAACCGAACATCCGTAGGTGCTGTAAATTGTATACTAGGCAACTGCCACACGAAACAAGCAAAAATACTGTGTTTAGGATACGATAGAACTGACATATACATTGTACAAAAGTTTCTAAATAATTCAAGATCATTTGTTTCATGTAGTTTATTTTTATGACTCATGCATTGACTTACAAATAAATGGACGACGGGTCTAATACAAAAACCACGAAAAAAATGTCCCAAGTCAACCTATTTAAACGTAGTGACATGTAAAGGAATATGAAAAAGCTAAAACGTTGAATTGAAATTGTAATGTCATCGCAGTACTGTCTAATTTTGCTTGCTTCGCTGTCAGTCGAACAAACGAAGACTAAAGCGTGAATGACGCTTGTATACGATTTTAACGCCCTATAAGTTCGGACGTTTTTAGCGCGGACCCGACGTCCATATAATTTTAAGTCAATGGACTCATGTGATAAGAGCACATTTGACGTGTGGTCATACGTAACTTTGTAATACAAAAGTATAAGCAGACAGGGTTTTACAATTTGAAATAAAAATAGGCTCACGGATGTCCACAATCTCATCTGATAGAAAACGAAGATATGGACACATGTTCACTTAGAAGATCCCTTTTCACTCAGATCTAAAATATTCCGGTGCTATAATTCAGGAAATACAAAAAAAATACAGAACGTTCGAGGTTTTTAATTTTAGTAGCAGTAGAGTGGAGCCCCTTGTGAAAGAGTTCGTCCAGGGAAGTACTGCCACCATACCTATTCTACATTTATTAATTACAGGTACATATGGGACTTGTTAACTTGTATCTCAGGGTGACAAGCGCATTGGCAGTGCCCTTTGAATTTTTGCGATTTAAACCTCTGAGTAGCACGTAATTGTTATGGACAGGCGTGTCGCTTACCACCAGGCCCACGACTTGTTCGTCCCGTGACACGGTGTCATAAAAAATTAGAAAATGCTGCTCTGAAGGCACCACCCATGCTTGCACGGTCATCAAGAGGCCACCAGGGGCGACACAGGTCACAAAATTATACATTAAATTTATTTTTCACGATCTTTTACAATCAATAAATTATTCTCCTTTACAAAAGATCATTAAGGTACATAGAGATCTGGCGAATGCGTTGCATGTGCAACTCGCGAGTCTTTCGCAAACAAGCACATTCACCAAATCTGAATGCACCCATACTTAACATCATTGAAATCTTTATGCAAAACGACATTAACTGGGTAGTCTGTATGAACAATCTCAGTGAAGCGTTTACATTAATTGTCTTCCATATTTTTATCGGCCGACTTGCATAGAAATTTTACAATAAATATTAATTTCGTGTAGGTACAATAAAATATGAGTCTTATCAAATATCGCAATAAAAATGAAATTGTTGCGGTTGGGGTTGAAAGAATGGCTACAAGCTATTATTACTGGCTATAGTGATCCTAAAGTTATCTATTAGCAATTACTTCCTAAAATAATGCATTTGTTCTTCGTCTCACTCATCATCTGCGTTCAATTTGCTGTTATTCTGATACTCGTACGTATAAGTATGTGCCAAGTGTTCTAATTTAATAAAATCTGTTGCCCGTTCCCCTATCATCATTGTTGGGGCATTGGTATTGCCACTGGTAATCTTTGGCATAACAGAAGCATCAATAACTCGTAGCCCTGAGACGCCATGTACTTTCAAAGTATTATCTACAACGCCATGTGGTCCCATAGCGCAAGTTCCTACCGGGTGGAACAATGTCCATGAAGAATGTTTAATAAAACATCTCCAATAATTATCAGTGCCCCAATATAAGTGGTTGCAACCAGTCACAGGAATTTTTGGCATATATCCATTCACTTTCTTGAAGTAAGATGTATTTATCAAACGTGTTATAAATTTGATACCCTGGACAAAATTTTCCACGTCTCTTGGATCTCTGTAGATTCCTAGTTCGACAAAAGGATCATCAAGGGGATTCTTACTTTTAAGAGATACTTGGCCTCTTGAATAAGGATGCAGCATCACCAACTGGGTTATATCTATTTCTCTATTTAAATTAACTTCCGCCGTTGATAAACAATACGGTTTATCCAGGTTACAAACATTCTTACACAAAGCAAAAATGATCGGTGAGGCTCCTGCACCCGAATACATATTCAAAATCTGAAATTGAGGCCTCCTATCTTGAACACCATAACTACAGTTATCAACTCGAAAAAAACCACATTGTACTGGTAAAGGGTATGATCCAAGTTCTGTTACTGCAGCTAAATTCTGAACCACAGTCTGTAACCCACTTTGTCCGGCAAATACAATGCTCACAGTGCTATGATCATGAAGATTCTTTCCAACTGGCAAATCCGCAATTATGTTTATATGATGTTGTTTTAATTCTTTTCTTGGCCCAATTCCTGATAACATTAAGAGCTTCGGACTGTTAACTGCTCCTGCAGAAACTATAACTTCTTTGTTAGCGTATATTTCAATCATCTTTCCATTTTTTAGTAGAACTTGAACACCATAGGCGTGTTTCCTTTCTGATTCAATTAAAACTTTAGTGACTCTAGTGTACTTAGCTACTTTAAGATTAGGTCGATCCTTTGTCGACCTCAAATAAGCCTCTGCAGTGCTAGATCTTCTTCCATTCGCAAAAGTAAAATGTGGAATTGCAGCTCCAAATTTTTCGGGACCATTAATTTCTAGGATTCTTTTCACGCCTATTTCTTCTAGTGAATCCAAAAAGATTTCATTTTTCTCAGCATGTATGACGTTAGTTTGAGGTCTAGATACTAATACAGGGCCTTTGGCGGAATGTAAATGCGCTGTACGACGATCATACAACACAGAAGGATCTGTCATTCCTTCTAATTTCTTGTAATAGCGAAGAACAGTGTTCCAATCCCAGCCAGGTGCAATTTCATTCCATCCATCAAAATCTTCGGGTACACCTCTAGAGTAGATTTCATAGTTTACTGCAGAGGAACCCCCAAGAACTTTGCCTTGAGTGTAGTACAGGAAGCCTCCTGGATGAGCAAGACCTGTGCCGTTTTCGAAATAGGCGCGGTATTGCCAGTCCACACTCGTATGGGCTAGCGTAGCAAATAAACTCGGGGCCTGAAATTAATAACAAATCTTTCATTTCAAGACCATTCTCGAAACAGGTTTATTTAATTATTTTTTATTTCTTTATTTATTGTAAATATATTTACACGGTATTACGGTTACAACGAATGCACCGTGAAAACTAAGCTAATTATGAAAAAAAAATAATAACAATAGGATAAAAAAATAAAAATACATTATAATAATAACTCGATTCCCTAGCATTTCACGAAATCTCAAGCATTCACAACTCACAGCCGTCCATCGCCACACTAACATATAACATTCCGGTGCCGATGTCCGGTTCGTTGAGCATTGTGAGGGCATAGAGCAGCGACGAATTCCGATGCGATACTGTACATGCCCAAGGAACTGCGAATAGTTCACGACGTCACGATCTGAGATCTATTTTAGGGACGTCTGGGACAAAACTTACAAGTTGCCCACAAATTCAGGACAATCCGAGTCGCGCGTAAGACCTGACGAGCAACTTGTTATTCCTGAAGATAATTATATTGAAGAGTCTCCAGTAAATATTCCGTCGGATACAGAAACGAGTAGTAGCCGTACAGTTTTTTATATAAAAATCTAAGGAAATCTTTTTGGACCTTTTCTATTAATAATAAATAGGTAGCTTCAGGCGGGTGACACACAAGCGACGAAGCCTGAAGCTTGCTTGTCACCATTATGGACCATTCGTATAGCTCCAGGATCATGAAAGTCTCTGACATTACGGATTAGAAAGCCCAGTCTTCTAAAGCAGTCGGCAGCAAGTGTCACGATATGGTCATGAAAAGTGAGGCGCGAGTCAAAGACTACATCCTTTATAGAAAAGACACGGTTAATTGGCTCTGTACCAAGCACATAAATTGCACATGCAACGTAGAACGCGATACCGTATACATAAACGAAATACCTAACAATTCTATGTTTGAGACACTCTTGTGAAAACAACCATATACACAAAAATAATCATGTCTACTATTTGATATTATTTTTTTAAACACCGAGAGAACGCTATTCTACAACAGCGCGTGCGATGACCCCAATTTATGCAATGTGAGTGCACTGCGAGATTATGCGAATATGTGCGTCAATACAAGGCGCGCGGCGGGCGTGCACACTTTTTTATGGACTTACATTACTTGTCTTATTATACTATGGTAATAGTGTAATTACATTTTTTCTTAATTTTAAAGTGTATTTAACGTTTTCTCAAAATTTAATTACAACTAATAAAGTGACATCTCCAGTCAATTGCTGGTACCTGTAAAGGCACCTAGTTGAGTGAAGGAAAACTTTCATAGATTTCTCACAGATGGCGTTACGGCTATAAAGACGTTACAAAACCAAAAACGAAGACATCGATACCTCCAATGAACTATTTTTTTTTTCACAAAATTTGGGGAACATAATATTAGTAAATAAATACTTATGGCTGTTTACAAAAATAATAGCAAATTAACAAAAAATAAAGTTGACGTAGTGTTCGTTGGAGGTATTGATATGCAACAAGCACATAGAACAAAATTCGTAAAGGCTGGTGGTTCGTAGCTTAGTTGGGTAAACGTCTGGCACGGTTTGCTTATAGATGCTGGTTCGGATCAGCTGGTTGAAAGAAGCATTTCTTATTGTTCGATCTTTGTATTAAATATTTTGTATAAAAACCCACCACGCTTCCCGGAGGAGGGTCACCACCAGCTTCGATGAGCAGCACTCTCCAGTGAGGTATCTCACTCAATCGCGATGCCACCACTGCACCCGCCGAGCCAGCCCCTACCACTATGAAATCAAAAACTTCGCCATCTGTAAACAATCGTGAACACATTTTACATATACCATGGCGCATACCCACTTTCAACACCTTTTGGAATTCCCTGTGGAAATTAAAAAGTATTTTATTTGGAATAGTGACACTGTGTTTTTTATAGTGTCAAGTGACGGGACGAACTAGTCATACACGCCTGTCCATGACAGGTTTAGTGCCACTCCGAGCTTTAAATCGCAAAGATCTGAGGGGAACTGCCACTGCGCCCGTGTCCCTGAGACATAAGAGACACAAATAATAATCTTAGTACAGAGTACTAAAAAACCGGCCTCAAGAGTTCGTGGAATTATATCTATGTGCCAAACTTTATTGGAATCGGTTACCGGAAAGTGCGCGAAACCAGATCGTCTAGTTTGCTACCCTCAAAGGTGGAATATTTTCTTCAAATTTAAATGGGACCACATTGAAATATCCTCTTTCCAACAAAAAAAATAATTATCAAAATCGGTTCACAAATGACGAAGTTCGAAGTTCGCGTAACATACATACAAAAAAACATACAGTCGAATTGAGAACCTCCTCCTTTTTTAAGTCGGTTAAAAATAGCATTATTTCAATGAGATATAAGAAGCCATCGAGTAACGTAAGAAGTAAGCTATATCAAATCGAAATACATTCAAATTCATTATCGCACGATGTACGTAACAATGTTAAACAGATTTAAATTCATTGTTAACGCTAAGTAATCAGGGGGCCTACCATAACCTATTAAAACAATATTACTTTAACCTTACATAGACTTTTCGTACCACAACGAGCTTAAAGTAAGCTTATTGTAATGTTAAAACTATGATGTTTAATCGGCAGCTTTGTGCCTATTCATTCACTCAGTTCGTAGTATGACGTGACTTTCATATTTTCAGTTTTATTTTTTTATTTGTAATGATTAAAAGTTAAGTTGAACTTATTTATTTACATACATCTCTTCAATATTTTATTTATTTTTTATTTAATAGCACATAGCAAATAACTTTTCGTTAAGTAAAAATACGCGATGTTAATTTCGTAAACTTCTAACAGCGCCATCTATATGCTCCTTGGCGAAACTAACAGTTGACACTAGACTATAGTTACGAATTCACAACGTGACTATCAAGACTCAGCTTGTTTTATTTATTTTTTTTTCATGAAAATGCGGAATAATTATTAAAAACAACGTAATTTTAATAACTATAATTAACGTTAACAACAATCATCAAATATACAAACAAATAGGCAATCTGAAGAAACCAAAGCAAAATTTGGCATATGTCTAATCACATGAGATATTTGGACTTTTGTGTGATTTATAGACAGAAAAATAACACGTCCCTGTACAATGTTACATACGGTCGATCTTCGCTTTTTCAAATGCCACATCCCGTAATGCTGCAGCGACGAATTTTTATTAATACTTAATTGTTCTCACTGTCAATATTTTTGTCCATTTTATTACAACACTTGGAAAAATATTTGTTTTGACATTTGATGTACTTCCCCCTGACAGTCGTATCATGTACGTCATGTACTGTGAAATGGCCACGGTTGGCATTTAAGATGACGTTACGTATTTTCGATTCCCATGTTTGACACAGATCAGTGTAATGCTATCTCTTTTGACTTAAGACAGCACGCAATAGTTAAACAAAGACAATAACATGTTTATGTTTTCAACGTCGAAATGCATCATATACATATAACGTCTGATTTATATATGTCAACATAACATGTCCTTCAGTTTCCATAGTCTAAGGTCAAATCAATCGGACACCCATAAAAATCACTTCATTTCATTCCGCAATCGTTCCACAATCGGGCACATAACGCGTTTCATAGTAAGAAATTATTAAAACGAAGGACTTACGCAGCTACGTGTATCGGATTTTACTTTTGGGAGTAGACGCTCTATGAAATAGAGCCACATATTGAACTTATACGTAGACTAACATGACTTTTGACACCAATGTTGCTTGTTGTTAGTAAAATCTAAATCTAAGAGCGGTTACACACGGTGCGTATTGGCAACGATACAAACGCGCGTTTATGAAATGAAATATTTATGATTGCATCGCGACATTACCGTCTAATAGGTGCGGCATAGATGCAGTTGCTTATATTGAATCATTAAAAACGTGTATCGCGTTAACATCACATTTATATCGCTTATGAGTCGACACAACCTCAAATCGCTTTGGTCGTTTCCGCATTACAGCGAAAGTGTTAAATCAATCAGTTCAATCAAGACATACACTGATAAATTTTCCACGTTTGAAAAAAACACAAACTTACATCGAAATTTTACAAGAAAAACACTGTATTCTACTTTACATACACCAATGATTTTTTTTACACCAACTGAAATGAAGCCAATGTCCTTGCTGCTCGACCCAAGCAACATGAACAGTATTAGTACGGGAAAAAAATTAATTCGAGCTGCAGTAGTATCGACATTTCATTCGCGCGTATGTGTAGACAAGTAGCGACTGCATCGCTGCACACGAGCGGCTAAAAGTCACCATGTGTAACCGCTCTCTTTCGTATATTTACCATGTACCGGATAATGTTCGGGCCAACCGATGCCTGTGATAGCCCGACTTAGAGCCAGCAACCTTAGCACCCATATTACCAACGACGCAGATCTTGAATCCTGTAGAAATCCTAGAATATCGCTGAACACTCTATTTATATTTCTATTTAACATTTTGATTAAGTTTTTCTTTACTCTTGATGACTAAAGAAAGTCCAAAGTCCAGAGTCTTTTACCTGCTAGTTAAAGGAGGTGAAGTTTCTTCGTTTAACCGAGTAAAATCGGTATCCGTCCATCCATCGATTGCAGTATAATTTCAATTATTCGAAATATACCATCATAAAACATACCATCAAACTTATATTTTCAAAATTACAATTAGTAAGTATTTATTTAATTTCTTGTCGGAGAACTGACAGACAAACAGTCACTTAGAAAACTAAATAAATTTTCAAATTCTGATGATGAGTTCCCAGATATAAAAACATAGCAAAAAATATAGGTGATGCTACAACTATCTTATCCTGAGCTCACTAAGTACAATCAACAGCAAAAGTAAATGACTGTCACTTAGACCACAAAACCTGCAATCTACAATTGTTACATGTAAGATTTTTATAGTTAAACGCCGTTTTACTGCAGCTATACTAGTACAAAACAGATCAAGATCACAGTCCACACACCACTTATTAAACGCAGAGATGGCACGCAATATAATATAACAATAAGGAATTTTGTCTATAATTAGTTTTAACTAATGGTATGTTTAACAATGGTCGTTCACGGAGGCTTTATTAGTACAGATGTCGCTTATTGTACGTCGGTATTCTAATAGAAGAAAATTGTATCGTTTGCAGCTGTTGGTTTTACCTGATGTCCAAACTAGAGCTTTGTAATCTATTATTATTCTTTTGGATATTTTCTATTCGATTAATGTAAATTTTATAGTTGGGGTTCCAGACTTGGCTCGCGTATTCCAGGTGATTTCGTACAAAAACACAAAGATTAACACAGTGCCAAATATGGCTGCAAGGTCACAAATGATTTTAAAACATTTGCGCAGTCATTTTATAAACGTAAAAATTGAGCGCGGCAAACGAAATGAAAAGACGTTTTTTTGTTTCATGGTTTTCGCAGCGATGATTAAACGACAAAGATTTCATATCGTTGTCCTTGTTCTTCAAAATGTATTACAATAGTTCATTACCGAATAATCAAATTTAGCATTGTCATTTTTTGTTTCATCGTTTTCGCGGCGATGATTAAACGACATAGATAGCTATATACGCAATTTCATGTCGTTGTCCTTGTTCTTCAAAATGTATACAATAGTTCATTACCAAAAAAGCTAAAATGTAGCTTTGTCATTTTTTGTGTCGTTCTTTTCGCTGCGATTATTAAACCACAAAGATAATAAACGTAGTGTTAGCGGTTTGCTTGTGTTTAATAAATTGAATACAAAATGACTTCATATACCTCACCTTCTGAAATAAGACCTCGAACTGGTAAGTAAACATGGCAGTTAGATGTGTGTCGATCGTGTTCGTACGAATCAAAATGATTCGAACAGCACGCGTGACTCGATAACCCGGTTACTAGCTTCTAAATAACCCGATCATTTTAGAGTTTCATGGGTCGTGCGCGCAATATTCGACTTTATCATTATAATTATAGATATTATTCAACAATTCAAGATATTATTGTTATCTCGTCCACTCTCACATGAAGTCCGTTTGAGTCGAACATTTGTTCGATAGAACTTTCGTTCGATAGAACCTTCGTTCGATCGAACCAAAAAGTCAAGCAATCGATCAACGAGTCAACGGGACAACGGGTTAACGGATGAATGAGTCTATCAATCATTCATCCTAATTGCTCCGCGGCGTAGTCTCCATTACATACGTAATGGAGACTCCGTATATTTTGTAAGTTTAATCTGTTTTTCGGTATGTTGTGTTTATGTAAGAGGGCACTAGCTAATTTTAAAACATTAATGAATAATGAATTAGTAATTTTGAATGCTCATAAGTTTTTTGTTTTGTAACACCGTTAGTTTTTCTAGAAGGAAATTTTAGTGTCCTAAGTATGGTTTATCAATGATGCATTTAACTATAGACACATTACCCATCAGGAAAAAATAAAAGCTAATAGCGTAATTTGACACTTTTAAACGCCATAGAAGTATCATGAGGGACGGGTGACCCGCTAAAATATCGAACATATGATTGAATCATTTGACCCGATCACACTACGCACGAGTCATGATCTACCCGGGTTATCAAAAATGATCGACCGACACAACTCTATTGGCAATATTTTTATGATAATAAATAATAATAAACTATTTATATTTGTACCAACTTGGATCACTGGTGTTTGTTTAGCTACTTAAACTATTGTCAGTTACATACAAATTAGAATAACATCATTTTAATAATTTTATAACCTAAATCATCAACATAAAAATAAATTAAATTTCGACTTATATAACTTAACAAACAAACAAATTATCAGACAAAATGTATTATTGAATCCTAATTAGCACTATTATTAAAATAATTTATATGAACCCCGCCGTATTGAATGTTTTGTATAAATCCCTAGTGTAGATTTATAGACGATCGCATCGATGCAATCTCGCGTTTGCTTAGTAGTAGTAGAGCTCCTCCAGGAGTGAAAGAGTTCGTCCAGGGAAGTACTGCCAGTTTACCTATTTCTGCCGCCAAGCAGTAATTTTGAACTTTACTGCGTTCCGATTTTGAAGGTTAAGGGTGCTGGTGAAATTACAGGCACATGGGACTTGTCAACTTATATTACATTGACAACTTATTATATTATAGGGTGACGGGAGCAGTGGCAGTGCCCCTCAGATCTTCGCGATTTAAAGCTCTGAGTGGCACTGCACCTGTTATGAACAGGCGTGTAGCTTACCATCAGGCGCACGACTTCTTCGTCCCGTCACTTGATATTATAAAACAAATCGCCTATAAATAGCAAGTGTAGCGATGCAATCGCGCGTTTCACGAACGCGTGTTTGCATCGATCTTTTCAGGGGAGGGATTGAAGACTCTCCGAACAAAATTCATTGATAACTTTTTTATGCTGAAATCGGAGAGTTATAAAATTTCACATATTATTTTGTTTCATTTAGTTCGTATGATACGATCATGCGACAAAAGCACTTTTAACGTATGATCACATGTGGCTTTATTATACTAAAGGTAAGGGTTTTTTCCTCATAAAGTTTTTTTACACAATAACAACTGAAATAAATAAAATAAAATAAAATATCTTTATTTTCAGACAACAGGGTCCATAGATTGTTAGTAAACAGAAAAACCTTAATAACTATGTTAGTACTACAATAATAATAATAATAATAATAATAATAATAACACTTGCTAAAGGGTACACCGCTGTCGGCAGAGTCACCGAGGTGCACGAGTAGCGTGCAGCTCGTTGAGCCTGTCGAGCACTGCACCATCCAGCCTTCTTTCAACTACCTGTAAAAGACTGTTGGAGCTTCCCCTCACTCTTTGAATTAGAGAAGCAACTTTTTTACGCATAAGCGCAAAAAAGTCGTTTGTGTGCGCATCGGCAAACATGCCCGAAGCACTGCAGTGTCGAAGAAGCCCCACCATCACCCGGAACAGGTTGTTGTACAATATGCGCAGGGCGCTGTATGATTTTTGGGAACAACTAGTCCACAGACTGCTGGTGTAAAAAAATTGGCAGAATGCTTTGAACAGAGTGACTTTGACATTAAGTGTACAACCAGCAAATCTCCGAGCCAGCATATTCCCTCTTACAGACAGCGCCCTGCGTTCCATTTCTATATCGCAGTCATCCTTCAAGTCTTCATTCACAATGTGCCCTAGGTATTTAAACTGCGTGACTCTCTGCAGTGGTGAACCATTGAGGTACACTGGAGGGACAGAGTTTGGTGGTTTGTTTCTGCCTTTAAATACCAAGAGCTCACTTTTATTTGAATTATATACTTCAACCCATGTTTATTGGCATAATCCTCACAAATAGCCAACAATTTACGCAAACCGCCATTCGTAGGCCCCAGGAGCACCATGACGCGATAATTTTACTAAACCACAAAAATAATAGACAATAATGACCCTAACAATCGGCTAAAATAATCAGTACAGAGTAATAAAAAACCGACCTCAAAAGTTCGTAGAATTACATCCATTTGCCATGTTTTATTGAAATCGGTTACCGGAAAGTGCGCGAAACCAGATACATCCCCTAGTTTGCCACCCTTAGAAGTGGAATATTTTCTTGAAGTTTAAATGGGACCACTACTGAGGTACACTCTTTCCAATTAAAAATGGTTCATCAAAATCGGTTCAGAAATGCCGGCCGGAGTTATCGTGTACCACGCATCCAAAAAAAAATTGTCGAATTGAGAACCTCGTCCTTTTTTGATGTCGTCGGTTAAAAGTCGACATCATTTCAATACAATAAAGCACAAAACCGCACTTTCAAATATGTGATTAGTTATAAATCATATAAAATATTCCTTCTCCCGGTCGAGGTCAGACAGTCGCCTTCGGTTCGGGTTTTCAAGGGTGCTCTTTTGAAGTTTTGGGATTGTTCAGACTCCACATGTTAGAGCTTATGAAATATTTATTTACATTTGATATATTTATTAATAGTTTTATTTTGTGCATTCATTTTATTATAGACTTTGTATGTATTAATGTATCAACATTACTTAATATATATGTATTCGTATGTACATTTGATTTATTAAAAATGTATTTATTGAGTATAGTATATTCCATTTCTTTACTTATCTATTTTTAGTGCCACCCGAAAAACCAACTTTCCTCTCATTATTTCAAAGGTTAGTTGGAAGAAATCTCTTTATGGGATAAGCTCGCCACTGTACACAAATATTTCAATTGTTTCTGAAAATTTGTAAGTTACTTTGTGGTACAAAAAAGTGTTTAAATAAATAAATAAATAAAATATAAAAACAAAAGGGAACTTTATGTACAGCACTGTAAAATTTTCAAATCGTAAGCATACGCCATTTCTCTCTCAGACCTTACTTGCTACTTACATGTTGCTTTATTATTATAACAAAGGTACGAATTGATAGATTTCATTTTGTTACCACGCATCCTGATCGGGTGGGGAGTATACGGATACCGTTTTCACCAGGCAATGGTCGGAAGCACTCAGTGGCAGGGCATCCACAACCATAGAGAAGATGATGATGGACCGAATCGAAATTTAACACATT